ATATTATGTGCTTAATATTAAAAGTGGTAGAATGACTTTCGGTGTGACTAGCTCTGTGGTAACGTTACACAATAAGAGATTAACTATTGTTCAAACTGGTGTGTCTGTGCCGTGTATGGCACAATGCTCTTTCCTAACTGTGCTGTAACCTCTTTCACTTAATTTCCACCTCGCCACTTCTTTTCCCCTTTCATTCTTTTTTGTCCCTCCATCACACAGTTTCTCCTCAGGGGTGTCTGAGAACTCCCAGGATCAACACCATTCACCATGGAGGGCTTTACCTTCCACAACAATTTTTTTTAAAAGCTCTCTAGGCAAAGCCCTCATCTATCCTGCCAGCTGTAGTCTGACCTCTGATTCATACTGAGCTGGGGAGGTGGTGTCATACAGTAAATCAGTATGCAGTGAAATCTGTGGGAATCTAACAAGCTTGAAGTCTGGAATCCAGTATGTGAATGAATACTTTATGTACAACTGCCCTGCAAAATGTGTAACAAATCTACATAAATTCTGAGAATGATTTAAAACAATCTTGGTTCGGTTAATTTTGGAGGAAAAAGGAGAATATATCAAAATGCACTAACATAATGAACTAAATAATAACCTAGACTTTTTTTTTTCTTGGATATCAAAGGGAGAGAACAATGAATCAAATTTGTGGAGGATGTCGCCCTCAAGTGGTCACTGACATGCTACAAGGTAGTTGGAGCAACTAAAATAAAGTTGACAAAAGCCCTTTTCACTCTGAAGTGATTAAAATTTGCACCAAATGTAAAAAATATTTTTAGTATTAATTAAACATCAAACTTTTTATGGATTTTTCTAGGGTATACATAGAAAAACCAAACAACATCTGGAAATTCTGGATGTTCGTTCCTCCCATAGCAACAAGTAACAGTGCAAGCACCCCAGCAAGAAGCTGGGTTGCAACTGAAAATTATTTTTATGACCAGTTGATGAATGCTTTAGTATTTAAAATATCTGCAAATGATGATAAAATTCTTTCAATAGCAGTATGTGTTCTGGTGTTTTTTTTTTATGGGTTATCCATCTTTCAGTTTTTTTTAGCCAAATTAAAAATGTTTCCTTTATTATCGCAGAAGATTAAGAGAAAAAAAATCCCACCTATGAACCCGGAACAACCCAATTTTTTTCAATTTGACATTTTTGCTTTCTTTTCTGGGATCAATCAACTAATCTTTCGCTACACATAAACATAAATTATTCCACTGAAATTGCTCAGTATAAATGTAGATATATATAAAGTGATAAGTGAGTCATAGATATTAAAATAATACCAAATAATTGTTAACCCAAAGTAAAAATAACAAAGCCACAAAGACTTTTCTGTCACGTTATTTTTATGCTACTGCGTGAGTCAAACATCTCTACCTGCAAAAGGAGATGATACTTTAGGACTCTCTGCATTGGGACAACCAGCAGGTCCCTCAGTGTAAACTTCCCATTGTTCGCCCTTTTGGAGCACTCCTGGAACAAAAATGTAGTAACTGAACAGAACGACCTAGAATGCATCAAATACATTCACTTTAAGTGTCCTGTTGATGTAACTCTGACTGGCAGTAAGAATGACAACATATATATTTTAAATTCTAGTATCATTGTTGTTAAAGCTGAAGCAAAGGAAGCGCATAATGCATTATCTAAAGACGTGTAAGTGTAGTGAAAACAATATACACTAGAGGTCACTGAAAGCTTGATCTGTATATCGGTGGTCATTGCATGTTATAGACAGGCCCGCTTCTTCTAACGTCTCACCTCCAGCTTCAGACGAACATCCTCCTTCTCTTTGCAAATGAGGTCTAAAACAGCGATGGCAATTTCCACTCGACTGCAGTATATTCCATAAATGAGCAATCTATAAAAATTCAATGGAAATGAGGTCATGATGAGTGGTGACTAGCAGGAAGGGACATTGGGTGTGCACGGAGGGCCACATATGTTGTTATGGATCATTTCTCAAACAGCTGTATATACATATATATTTAGTTTTAATCTGAACCTTTTTGAAACACACCTGTACAAAGTTTAAGGACTTAAACTGTGTGGGCTTAAAGAATGATTTTTTTACACAACACTGACAGCTTTAATATAAATTTTGCAGATATCAATCAATGAAAATGAAATTACTACAAAAATCAGCACTTCTGTAGTTGCATACTTCCACAAGCGAAAGTTCAACTCAAATAACTCTGAGACTTTTCTTTTTTGTTACATGCAACATGTTCATAATTCCTCAGATACCTCTCTTTGTAGCTGATAAAAATCTGGTAGAGATTTAAGGCATTTTTGTTTAAGATGGAATCCTGCACTTCAGCCATCAGGCTCTTGTGAAGTCTAACCAAGTCCTGCATCAGAGAAAGAAGCCGTCAGTATCTGAACAGAAAAGTGTATCTTTCAATTGTGTGTGGCAAGAGTGAGAACTAGCGTGACTTACTGGGATGTTTACAAAAACTTTGTCTATTTCAGAAGTAGAGAAGAATTTCTTCAGTGGGTTCAGGAAATACTGGAGACAGAAGCATTGAAAATCTAAATGAAACTGAATTCAGCTCCTCTTCTTAGGCCATTTTACTTATTTACTGTACAGCTGGAAACTACAAACAGCGTGAAAGTGAATTTGTAAATAATTCATAACTCATACTGAAACCATTTACACACGTCACATAGGATGTTTGACAGCAAACAAATTAGGGAATTGGCAACTGGGGATTTCCCCAAAATTCCCCATAAAAACCCCAATATTGTGCTCCATGTGTTGTATAAAATTATAACAATTACAGCACTTACTGTCACTGAGATTAGATTTAGCATTATGATGCAGTAAATCCATCATTTGTTAGTTCAAAAGAGGAAAAACAAGAGTTCAGTACCTTCTCAATTGACTCGAGGGTTTCCGTGTATTTCTCCTCTGTCTGTTTAATCTCTGTAAGGCAGCAGCTTCGGACATCAACCTCTGCTTGCTTCTAGAAAGACAGATATCTTAGAAACTGTTGCTTGAATGTTTAAAAGAAAAAAAATATTTTTGTTAAGCCTTTATTTCTATCTGCAGACAGGAAAGCAATGTTTTAACAGCCACCAAACAGAGAGTAAGGTGCAGCAGGTGGCAAGTGAATAGATGAAGAGAACAGAATTAGGCCCCTTCAAACCAAAATTTACTAAAATACTTTTAAAACTATCAAGAAATCGGAAGAATCTGCCTTTGATATGCTTTAAATTTTAGGATTAGTTAGGAGGATTTTTCAATTTGCAAGTATAACCCATATAAAATGTTTCAATAGTTAGATTTATTCTATTCTTTATTCTAAGTAGTAGGATTTAAATAACAGACTAGTAAGGTATCTCACCTTATTTTATAATGTAATTTAGTCATTCATGTGTGTGTACATGTTTAGACATCTTTGTGAGGACAGAAAATTGTCATGCTACTATACTTGTGGGGCCCCACAGTCACTTATGAGGACAAAATGCCCGTCGTCACGAGTTCGAAGGCATTTTTGAGGCTCAAAATGTGGTTTCAGTGTCAGGGTTACAATTAGGTTGTGGTTAGTACTTATGGTTAGCAGGTTAGTACTTCAGGTTCGTTTTTCACAGGACTTATAATCCCATGACATTTTTCTACATGACTCTATAGAGATTAGGGGCTGCAGAGGGGCGTAAGACTTCTATAACATATACGTCTCTTAACTCAGTATATATTAGTATATGACTGGAACATTTTTTTTACACTGTGGAAGTGTAAGTTATTTAAATTATGAGTCTTGCTCAGTAAAGATGTTGTAATGCTGAGTTTTAGAGGATTATCCTGCACCGGGTAAGAAGCTGCACTAAACTTTTAGTAATTAGGATTTTGTGGATTTTGTTTCCAACAACGCTCACCAACTATTCGACATGTGAGTTAAAGGTATTCAGTGTTTTGTGTGGTGTTTGATAGGTGTGTGTATGTAAGCGCTGACTAATTGTGGTACCAGTGGGGGAAGCTGCTCCGTTCTCATGAGGTCTTCATAGATCTCGCCACCAGCATAATCGTCTTCTAGGCCATAGACCGCTGCATACAAGTCGTCTTCGTCCTCAGGAACATTCTCACTGTGACATACACAAAAAAATAAATAAATAAACACCACTAAAATCTGCTGATTATCAGTTAATTTTTGCATTCGCAAGAGATGCAAGAAGTAACCTTTGTTACACCGGTTGAGTAACTCAGCATTAAATAACAATCACTGCGTTTAACATTCAGGAATTATGTATTTCCAAAAGGAATGATTCACTGAAATGAAAATTCTGGAGATTATTAAAAGCCTTATTTGCCACGAGCATAATGCAAAAATTGCTCTATACACCTGTGATTACTCTTCTCTGTCGATCAATCACATTGTCAACAGCACCCATCCAGATCCCTGATGTGGGTGTGCAAGCACTCAGCAAAAACATGTAGAATTACTCATTCATTTCCTCTGACAGTAACATCGAAACGGAGCCAAGCCAGTTAACAAAACATGTGGGTGTCTAGACCCCAGGAGAGCATGGATGATGAGCAGAGCTGGTTCTGCTACTGAGTGAAATAATCACGTTCTATCAACACTAGTAATGGGCCCACAGAGAGAAGCTTCATACATACTCAATCATGTCTTCCAGATTGTTGTAAATGTCCTCGTTTTGTAGGCTCTCGTCCGTTGGAAATGGCCTGGAAGTGACAGTAAAGTAGTATAAGCTTCAGTATTTAACAGAATAAATGCTCTAGCCAGGGGGGAAAAAAAGCACTGCTGAGTAATTTAGGACAAGAAAATAACTTTAGATAAATCAGCATGTATTTAGATATCAAGAGCAGTCTAATGGGTTTTTGTATAATAGAAAAAGATGGAAAACCAAGCATACTTTGTTCAAAAGATGAAGACTTGCAATTGTTTAAAATATATTTTACACTAAAAAATGATTAATGATCACTTGTGAGAACTGCTGAACTGATCGTTGAGATCAACAGTATCTATTCTTAACTACTTTGCAGCCTGTGCTTCATTTCTGTTTTTGACATATTGATTTTGTATACTTACTCAACAATTATATCTTGTATTTTAATTTAATACCACTGCTGTTTGCACAGTCAAGTATAAATAGAAACATTTTTAATCATTAACTAAAACAGCTGTTAAAGATGGAAATTAGACATAGCTATAAATGTGCCTGCAGTGTGGGTAAGGTGAGAAGGAGGAGGAGATAAGATATAAGTGAAAGGAAAGTTCACATGGTTGGATGACCTTTTTTTCCTAGAAATAACACTTAGAAGCAATTTATTGAAAACTTGATGACTTACTTGAATCCTGCTTGCTGAGCAACTGTCGTGTGAGAAAGCTTGGACAGAGTGTCCATAACCTGGAGAAACAAAATGTGAAATTACATTTGTTGGTTTGGTATACAGAGACAGAAAGAGAGGACTGACTGAAGAGAGAGAGAGATACATGTTTAATAATGCAAATATATGACACTTATTGTGATTCCCGGTTTCAGAATTAAATCGGATTCACTGAGTTAAGCTTTCAATTTAAGCTTTAATTATCATATGAAAGTCAGATTTAAAGCGCTGATAGATTTCCTGCTTAATAACAATACCAGCTTGCAGGGTTAACAAGCCAAATCGAAACAAATATGGGTGCTTCACATCGTTCAAAACCAATTAATTACTTTTATCCAAATGTTCCAGCGTGGAAACAAGATGTATCAGGGTCTAATCGCAAGCAACACTGCGTACTTCAACCAAGACAGAGGAGCTGTCACAAAAACATACAATTAAATAACTAGCCTTCTTTTACTAAATTATGTATGGATGTGTTCCCATAGCAACATAAAGGGGCAAAATGTAGCTTTTAAGAAAACACTTGAGCCCATGCATTTCTTATATAACAAATATTAAGGACCCGTCCGGGTGAAGGAAGACTCACACACTAAGCTGAATGCACAACTTGAGGAGTTTGTCCCAAAGAAAAAAAAATTGCCACTGTTTGGAAACATTTTTGGCTTTAGTAAAGAAAACAAACAAAAGGAAGACAACAAAAAATGGTTTCTGCAATCGAAGGTAATACCACCATTTATTTATTTATGAACAAAGCAGGACAGCAATACCACAAAGGTAATACCACTAACCTATTACAACACTTGGAGCACAATTTTAATAGCTGATTATATTTATGGTACAAACCTAGTGAACTAAGAGTTTAGGTTATGTCGCCCTGGAGTTTACTCAGTCAATGTCTTGGGTGTGTCATTAATCACAATCTTTAATGAAGGAGCATTTTTGATGAGTTTTCCACTTGCAATTAATAAGCATACAAATCTATCCCATCCCTAAAATCTATCTTTTGACATGAACGCAGCAAAGACCAACGCACAAACAAAAAGAAAGAGGCCACATGGAATTGCACAACAGATCATGTTATGACCATGTGATTAAACCTCACTTGCCCACAAGTAAAAGTTGACTCTAAAACCACCAGTAAATAGCTGTAAGCCAAACTCACTGACCACTTTTAATGATGTAATGGTGTGAAGCACTGAGCATCATTTAAACGCCACATCTGTCCATCGCTTTGTGTTTCTTGAACACAACAGTGAGTTGTCTGCACTCAAATAGCCTACAGTTACCAGCTCTCAGTGCAATAGGGCATCTTTGGGAACTGCGGTGGAACAGAAAATTCACATTATAGATGTACAGCTGACAAATGTGCAGCAACTCTGTGACGCTATCACGCCAAGGCTTTCCAAAATTTATGACGAATATTGAACATGTCATCAAGAATTAAGGCAGTTCCTAAGATAAAGTGAGACCCCACCACGTACTAGCAAGGCAGTCGTTAACGTATACGTGACCGTTGCAACAGTTTCCTTTACCAAAATAAAAGTTAGCTTCATTCAATTAGATTTTTTTATTTCAAGTCACACAATTATGTCGGGAAACTTCATAAAAGGTCCATGTTAGTCAATATTAAGAAAGAAAACCCAGAGTGAAAAAGCACTTGGTGAGAAGAGGTGGAAAAAGCTGCCTTGTGATAGGAATCAGTAAAATGATCAACTATTAGCCTCTTCTGTATGGCTGAAAGGAGAACAAACCCGCAAAAGTTAAGACTACTACCTAGTTAAACACCACATGATAGGTCGGTGGCGCTGTCACTTGGTGTTCGCT